TCTTATGATAAAATATCTCATTAGAAATCATTAAGAAGAATCTTCTAGGTCTTCAACAAATGTCTATATCTTGTATTTTACGTCGCATAATTCTTTAACTGGAATGGTCTAACAAGCTCATGCCAAATTATGTTAGATTCAACAAACTTCTGGTTTACTACATAACATCTATTTAACTTTTCCCCATTTATTGTCTTAACTTGATCAATTTTGAAATTCCTTGGAATTACTTTATATATGATTCATCAGGATCATTCATCTTTCAATATAATCTTCTGGACTATGAATTAGGGATTCCTATATATTTCTTGATCAATGATCAAGTTTATCTTGATTGTGAACATAATCTTCTAGATGTTCTATTTATTATTGATTGTGGGATTCATCCATTCTCCCCCTCGAGATGATTATACTTCAGGTTCATCTATATCGAATTGAATCCTAATATAAAATCAATAACATCTTGAACCATTTACTTGTATATCACATTCACTTCATGGAATTGATCATAACCAATTAGATATGATTTTCATCAATGGTTCAATATTTTCTCAAAATAATGTAAAATTGTCATAGATTATTATGTCTACAGGACAATATAATAATATTATTTAGAGTATGGTTTTTAGCATCTCTATGCATTGATATACATTATCTTCTATATAGTTAAAAGTTATTTACAGACTTCAGGTCTTGTAATCTTTCATAAAAAATTTAAATATAAAAATAAGTATATATATATATATAAATAAATAGAGCATAATCAAAATAAATATTAATAATATATACCATTTATTATCACTTCTGGTGACAAATTTAAAATAAAATCAGAAAGATAAGATATAATTTGAATAAATTCTCAAATTATATTATCACTTCAGGTGATTTATTGTGTCTGCAAGACAATAAGATTTTGTTGATGTATTTTAACATCTTCATAATATTTATTATCTTCATTTATAGACTTCAGGTCATGCGGTCTTTGATACAAATACAAAATATAGAAAATATAAAATAAATAAATACTATCAAGATACATAAATTTATAAATAAAACATGATAATGCCAATTAATATTAGTAACATGTATCATTTTATTATCACTTCAGGTGAAAATTTTAATTCTAAAAGAAAATAACAGATTAAAAAAATGAAGAATTTCTTTGCTATTGTGTCTACTGGACAACAATATAAAATTCCCCTTAAACATATTTATACTATTGTATCTGCAGGACAACAATATTTTTGTGATTTCTTTTAACATATTTATGCTATTGTGTCTACTGGATAGCAATATAAAATTCTCCTTAAACATATATATATATATACTATTGTGTCTGCAGGACATCTGCAGGACAACAATATTTTTTTCTAACACATTTATATTAGTACTATTATTTCCACTTATGAACTTCAAGTCATAATATTAAATATAATAATTTTCTGTTAGATTATATCACTTCTGGTGATAATTCTTTTTTCTTTAGAATAAAGTTTCAGATCATATCACTTCTGGTGATAATTCTTTTTCTTTAAATTACTGTAAAGAATTTATGGATCTTTTATAGCCATTGTTACCAACATCAGAAACTCAAAAGGAATACCAATGATATAACGATTAAATCAACAATTGACGCATTGTTAAAATCTAACGAAAAAAGAACTAACAATTAACTCAATGAGCATAATATATCAAACGAATGTGTTACTAAAAACATTTAAGAAACTTGCTTTGGCAAAAAGATTTGTTTTACACGCTTAACTATCTATTCTCAGCTCATATAAATATGCTTTATAATTTATACTCACAATTTAAGCAAAATAAAAGAATCATGTGTGTTAAACATGAGGCATAAATTATCAAGGCTAGAGCTGGTAGTACAAACATGTTACGAAGCTAGAGCCAAAGCTAAAACAATGAATATCACAACACCAAATAACAATTTGTCAATTTCTAACAACTGATGTGAAAAACAATTGTAACGATAGTCGGTTGATTGTAGACAATAAAGAGATAGTAGATTTCGATCAATGACATAAATTCTTAAACAATAAAGCACATGACAAAATCATTGAAAGTATGTTCCAAATATACTATCATGTTTAGATTAAATGAAATCAACGAAAGACAAAACATTATTTGACTCTAATCATCAGTTTATCTTGAACAAATCAAGTATGACATATTGTTAGTTTACAAACATCAATCTACTATATATGGTGATGGTTTCAGATTCTAAAACAGAATTTATACTTGAATTTCAATTGTGAACACAAACCAACAATTGTCTAAACCAGTTGAGTTGAAACCAAAGCAAACAATAAATTAATAAGCAATATAAGCCCAAAAACTAATAAGTCAAAACTTTAAGAATGGTGGTCTTCATTAACGAAGCAATTTCAAATTCAATGTGTTAGATTGATATATTAAAGTAAGAGTCGGCAAGGGAGAACAGATCTATGAGAATTAATATGCATAGAATTTTATCAAGTTCATATTATAATAAAACAAGTGCTGAAACAATATGAACAATGAAGACAACGAGCAGATCTGATATTCTAAAATTTATAGAAACTGCAAAGATAAAGCAAACAAAGCAAACATGTTGAATCGAATGAATGAATAAGAATCAATAACGAATCAGCAAGTCACATATTAGATATAGGCCAACGAGTGGCGTGTTCACGATAACGGAGATCGGATATATCAATATATGTGATCTTGTGATTTAATATTAAGAATCTTGAGTTGATAAATAAACATGGATCTTAATATTTATGAACAAGAAAAATTAACATCTAAAACTATACCTTATAGTTCAGACGGCTAGAGCTCATGCTGGTAACGTGTTATAGTAAGAACATAGAACAAGAGAAGAGAGGAATTGGTTGTGTGTTATTCCATCAATAATGAGCTCCTTATATAGGAGTACAATATAGGGTTTTTCTTGGAGAGGAATATACTTGGAGAACAACTAAAACATTCCAGAATATGGGCCGATAATGGGTTTCCATATAAACTAATTACAACAATATTTAAATATTCGAGTTTATTGGCCAAAACATTATGTAGCGGAATAACCACTAATTGGCTATCACTGTTACTGATATTCAATTAATAACAAACTGGTAGATGATCCGCGCAAATGCGCGGTGTGATGTTGCGGTTTTGAATATGTCTAAATCCGAAAACCCGAAATCCAAAAAATTCCGAAAACCCTAAACCGAATAAAAAAAAAAACTCAAAACCTTTTTCACCCGAAACCCAACCCGACCTAAAAACCCTAGTAAAAGTTTTAAAATACCCAAAAAATTTTAATATGTCTAAATCCGAAAATCCGAAATCCAAAAAATTTGGAAAACCCTGAGCTAAACCCAAAAAAATTCGAAAACGAACAGAAATTTTCAAAAAAAAACCGGACAGAAATCCACAATTTGATTTAAATTAGACGTATTTCTATTTCACTATTGAAAATTTTGCAAATATCATTCGATCATATTCTATTGATTTGGTATTATCGATAGATTATGTTAATTTTTCTTTTTTGCTGATTTTTTTAGAGCTGGAAAATGGAAGTTTTGGGCCTGATTGGTTGCGTCTGTAGCTTTGGATTTTTTGCTGTAGAATTTTGGCTGTAGATTTTTTTGCTGTGGTTGTAGATTTTAGTGCTATATAATTTTTATTATAAATAATTTTTATAAAATATCATAAATGTAGCATTAAAAATAAATAAAAGAGATATAGGAAAGAAACATTAAAAAAGGAATATAAAGAATGAGAATAAGGAATGAGAAGAGAGAGAATTCTTAGAGTCTTTAAATTTGTGCTATGAGAAATCTGCTCGTATTTTCATATTTAAAATTATGGCTCTGAACTTAAAAAATGAAATCAAAGCTTGATTGGTTTAGCACTAGTGCTCTAGAAAAAATAATTGCTCTACATAGCACTCAGAGCACTTACCAATTTATAAACCATCGGTTTGTTTTAAGTTATTATTCTTGTATCCAAACAATTTTTTCCATTTATTCTTCTATTCAAATAGTTTTTTTCTCTTATTATTGTATCCAAGCATTAGAATGTACTTTTTTCCATTTATTCTTCTATCCAAATAGTTGTTTCTCTTATTCTTGTATCCAAACATTAACATTAGAATGTACTTCTCAATTAATAGCGTGATCGATATTCAATTACAATTTGTGAGACACTATTGGCAAAACTATTTATTTTGGTAGTGGATCTAGTAAAACGAAAATAATTGTCTATTGGAAATTATGTTTATATATTAGATGATATATCATGGTTTTTATGGGTTTTTGCCATGATATAATAAGTCTTGTATATAGAGTTTTTTTGGGTGTTTTTAGAGTCTTTTTGAGTCTATACAGGTCTAGGCAGATTTTGGAGCACAATTGGAGATTTTGGAGCTATTTGGAGAAGCTTCTGGAAAACAAGACCAATAGACGATTTCAGAGTCTTGCGTCATCTGCGTAGGTTGACACAACTAAAAGACAAAAATCTTGACTTTTGAAGAATTACAGTTTTAGCCCAGAAGTTCTGCTTATTTGACAAATGCCCCAAATCGTGTTTTAGACATTATTTTAGGTTTTTAAAACCATTGTTAGGCTAATACTTTTCATACTTTTATTATTCTATTGAGACTTAGAGAGAGATTTGTAGCAGAGCTTTGGAGAGACAAACAGACTCCTTCAGAGAAGATTTTGAACTCCTTTATCTCTATTCTTATTTCTTTTATGCAATATATTTTATTCATGATGTTTGTCTTAATCACCATGTCTGAGTAGATTCCTTGTTAGGTTTAGGGTTTTTCAAAGGCTAAAGAAGAATTGCAATTGCTTAGGATAATCATTAGAGTTCTTTATATGGATTGTGTTTATTTCTTATTCTAGCTTCGCGACCTAGAATCTGATCTTAGGTTAATTGGTAGACACGAAAGTGTTATTGATTTCCTGAACTATCTCCATCTCAACAAGCAGGTTTCCTCATTCTTTTTGTGATCTTGGTTCCAGTGTAAACTTGATGCTTTCCTCTGTTACTGCTAGACTTAGAATGACTGATTTCAAGCCAACTAGGATCTCTCTTATCCTAGCTGATTGATCCAAAAGACTCCCACAAGGTGTCTTAGAGGATGTTCCACTGAATATTGAAGGCCACTTGATTCCCACAGACTTTGTGGTTTTGGAATATGCTGAAGAACCTATAGATCCTCTTATCTTGGGAAGATCCTTCTTAGTAACATCTGGTGCTATCATTGATGTGAAGAAAGGGAAAATAGAGCTTGATTTGGGTGATGTTGTTATGCACTTTGAGATGGACAAGTTAAGGAGGAGATCCACCATTGATGGTCAAAGTTTTTCTATGGAGATTTCTAAAGATGAAGCACCAGAGAGCATTCACATGACATTACTGCTGGGTTTGTCAAAGAGCTGGATACTAGTGAGCAAGTGAACAAGCTGGAAGATTGGAGTGGATATGTAGTTGTTGATCATCTCATAGCCCAAAAGCCTCCAATACAGCAAAGGTATGCACTTCCTGGACTCAATACAACAAAGGTAGAACGACAATGATGGGTCCATTGGTAACCTAGTGAATAGTGGTGCATTACAAAAAAAATAGATGCTACAAGGTATAAATCACAATGTTACGAAAAACAGCAGTAGAAATAGTAGTTTTCTAATATGACGGTACAAACATGAGCTCTGATTGATAACACTACAGAGGTACAATAGTAGTTCTTATAATAAAATTATTAAAATAAATAGAAAAATAAATAAATAAGTAACAAAATTGATTATTTTACAATAATGTAAATAAAACAATGAAATCAAATGATAATATAAATTTATGAAAAATATATATCTGATATACACATTTAATTAGAAATAAAATAATTTATAATTTTTAAAAAAAATCAATGATGATTTAAGGTGTGATTAAAAATAGATCATTCATATTTTTCATAAACAATTAATGCTCTTTTTATCCATATACCACTATTTGGATTTTCATACCTTTTGAAATTGTAAAGTTATGGACTAAAAAAAACAATAACAATAAATTAGATTTGAAAAAACTGTTAAAAGTTAAATGAAAATTATCTAAATACAACACATAACAATTAAAATACAATTCTTCAGGTTATGACTAGAAAAACATACACTGAAGTTATGTTACTTATGCTCATTACCAATTATTTATAAACCAAAACTGATAATTTTTATTAAGATTAATGTAGTAAACTTGAGCAGGATAAAAGTTAATTTACATATTAAGATGAATGTATCTTAGTGTCTCAAAATATAACATATCATATTTTATCTTAAGTAGAGTTAATTAACAGACATTTACGAAATAAAATATCAAAGAATATACTTCATTAGAAATAAACGTGTATAAGCAATTTTCTAGTATCAGTTTTAGTAATTTTCTAGTATCTGTTTTAGAATATACTTCATTAGAAATACTTACTTATACAAAAAAATTAAAAAGGTACGTTTTTAGAATAAGAAAATTGTTCTATTATATTATTTTGTCTTCGTGTATTTTGCTTATTTATACATAAACCTATAATTTGAAATTTTATTTAAATTTTGGATCAACAAGTTAGGTTTAAAAGGAATTTCAATCAAAACATACACAAGAAAATATTTTTTTTTAGACAATATTTTATTTTATTTTAATAAGTACTATGAAAATAAGATGAGAATTAATAAAAGAGAAGATAAAGTTTGTTTTGTAATAAACGTGTTTTAAAAAAAACACATTCTTAACAAACTTTCATTGATTTATGAATAACATCATTTGCATTTGATAGTTATAAGACAAAAAGTTATTCAACAACAATTTCTAGCCAAGAGAAAAATAAATGAAAATACTTTGTACCATCACTTTATTTTTGTACAACTCTCATAAAGTAGCATTACACTTATAACATTGTTACAAGACTTGTACCATCACTTTTTCTTGTAGTGCTATCATTTTTTGTAATATCATTTTTGTACTATCATATGTGTAATATCTCTTTGATTGGTTACACAATGGACATTACAATTTGTAACACTCTCTTTTAAGGTCACCAATCAATGCCGATATGTTTTCATGTAGAACTAGTTCACACTTTTTGAACTAGATTAGGCTAGATTATAATTGGGATTGGGATTTGGATTTGTGCAGAAAAGAGAACTAAGGAAAAGAAATTGTTTAGAAGTGGTTAATTGGTTTGTATATATTGTTTTTCTGTCTTTGACTTTAAGTTAAAAAAAAAAAAAAAAAAAAAAATCTGAAAAAGAAAAAAAAAAAAGAAAACAGAGCCAAAGCAGAGTTTTTAGACCAAAACTGAGTTTTTAGACCAAAACCACTTGAGAATCAAAAGTTTAATATTCTCCTTAGGTTCAAAAGGAAAAGAAAGTGAAGGTATGATGAGTTTATGAAGAGAAAGTGCTTTAATGGGTAGCTTAGGATCATTTATGGGTTTGTATTGTGGAAATTTGAAGTTACTTGGGTAGATGAAAATTTATCCTTGTATGCATAAATTGATCTTTACCCTTAGCATTTTGCCAAAGCTCATTCACTTCTTGAAAGATCCCTAGTTTGACTGCTTAAACCTAGATGAAAAGAGATCATATTTGTCTCTTAACCTTGTCCCTAGCTAAATGATTTCACTTGATTGCATGAACTTGATCCATGATTATTCTTTAACTGAATGTTAAAAGGAATGGTTGATTTGAATGCATATATAGGTTGAGTTGGAATCTACTTCATGTTGTGATGAGTGTGGCTAAAGTTTTTTAAGTAGAACAAACTCACAATGCATTAACTCTTTGAACTCTCTTGTTTTCAAACCTCTTTCACAGTTTAGTTATTTGTTTTGCTTAAGGGCAAGCAAAATCTAAGTCTGGGGGAGTAGATATATCATGGTTTTTATGGGTTTTTGCCATGATATAAGTCTTGTCTAAAGAGTCTTTTCGGTGTTTTAGGAGTCTTTTTGAGTCTATACAGGTCTAAGTAGATTTTGGAGCATAATTGAAGATTTTAGAGCTATTTGGAGAAGCTGCTGGCAAACAAGACAAATAGACGATTTCAGAGTCTTGACACAACTAAAAGCCGAAAATCCTGACTTTTGAAGAATTATAGTTTTGGCCCATAAGTTCTGCTTATTTGCACATATGCCTCAAATCGTGTTTTAGACACTATTTTAGGTTTTTAAAGCCATTGTTAGGCTAATACTTTTCATACTTTTATTCTATTGAGACTTAGAGAGAGATTTGTAGCAGAGCTTTGGAGAGACAAATCAGACTCCTTTAGAAAAGATTTTGAACTCCTTTATCTCTATTCTTATTTCTTTTATGTAATCTATTTTATTCATGATGTTTGTCTCAATCACCTTGTCTGAGTAGATTCCTTGTTAGGTTTAGGGTTTTTCAAAGGTTGAAGAAGAATTGCAATTGCTTAGGATAATCATTAGGTTTTTCATCTGGATTGTGTTTATTGCTTATTCTAGCTTCGCGACCTAGAATATGATCTTAGGTTAATTGGTAGACACGAAAGTGTTATTGATTTCCTGAATTATCTTAGATGAGCAAAATATATATCTGCAAAGAAATTCGGTTTAGAGATTTTGTGAACTTATCAAACCTGAACTTTAATGCTTGTTTGAATTGTTAAATTTGCAAATAAATTTGAGATTCTAAGTTTAGATATAGATAATCTCTGCAACGAAAGTTGATTTGTTTTATAATTGTGATTTGAGTTCTAGAACGGTTCTTCATTAATATCCTGATATTTTACTCTGCAATTCGGATTCAGCTTGCGAATTTCCCAAGGCCTAACCTTTGTCTCATTGATTTTGAGTCGGCCGAACGTCCCGACCGACCGTCCGAACGGTCCGGTCGACCCGAAGCCGTTTTTGAAGCCCGTTTCACACGTTTCAAGCCCAAAGCCGGCGCCGACTTACTAGATTAGGTCTAGCCGCTTTTCATACTTAGTGCATTATAAATACTTCTTTTTAGCCTTGTAACTCAAGAAGGAGAGAGACCACAATTTACTTTACATCTTTAATAAAGTTTTGCTTGCTTTTACTTTGTTCTTGCTTGTTCTCTTTCTAGAGAGGATTCGAATCTCTGTTCTTATGAATATGAATTCGTTTCCTTCTCTATGTCTGAGTAGTTTACTTGTTAAGTGATAGGAAGTCAAAGGATAGCATTCATGTATGCTTGATGATCGATCACAATTAGGGTTTTACTTATAATCTTCATCTTTGCTTATACTTAATGCTTGTTGTTAATCTGGCCAATTAGCATATGATCTAAGGTTGATTTGAGCCTCGAAAGTGCTGTATCATTCGCCTGAACTAGTATTTGGTGGGCAACCTCTTTTAGACTGCGAAAGTTGATTTACTTGTAGGTTGTGAACAATTGAACTTAATCGAACTAATGCTTGATTTAATCACCTAGGGACATACCAAAAGTTTAGCGACTAGGGAGATTAACAAAGGGGTCGGAGCCTCGACAGTGGAAATGATCATACCATAGTGTTTCAAGTTCTAGATTGGCACCTAATTGCAATAACCCTAATTGATTGATCCTTGCTTCATGAATTGCTTATCTTAAGACTATCCTATTGCTTAGCCCTCTCTCCTATTGATTTCAATCTTTCTTATTACTTGCATGCCTTTACTTTCACTGCACTCAACCAATCTCATACTGTTTGCCCTAGCTCGATCTCAATCTTATAGTTTGTAGTGTGCAATCTGGTCCTCGTGTTCGATACCCGTTTACTACTTCTGACCTGTGCACTTGCAGAATCAGGGATAGGAAAAGGGAAGACCTGATCCCGCGATCAACATCCTCAGCAAATCCTCCAAAGTCTGAATAGTCCTCTCTGACTGACCATCTGTCTGCGGATGATAAGCTGTACTCAGATGCACCTTAGTGCCCATCTCTGCCTGAAACGCCCTCCAAAACTCTGAAGTGAATCTGGGATCACGGTCTGACACAATACTAGCTGGCACTCCATGCAGCCTCACAATCTCTCGCACAAACTTCCTAGCCAAGACAGCAGCTCCATCTGTCTTCTTGATGGCCAAGAAATGTGCAGACTTAGTCAACCGATCCACAATCACCCAGATAGCATCGAAAGTCCTCGAAACAGGTAGTCCAACCACGAAATCCATCGTAATCCTGTCCCACTTCCACTCTGGAATGGGTAAACTCTGCAAAAGACCACCCGGAACCTGATGCTCTGCCTTCACCAAGGCACAAGTGTTGCACTTCGCAACCCAGTCTGCTACATCCCTCTTCATCCCGACCCAATGATAGTACCTCTTGAGGTCATGGTACATCTTGGTCGCTCCCGGATGAATGGAAAACTTGCTCGCGTGAGCCTCTCCCAAAATCTGATGTCTCAACTCCACATCCTTAGGCACACAAACTCGCCCACGAACCAAGATAGTCCCATTCGCAGAGACCTCATACTCAGAACCAGTCACTCTCGTCGCATCTAGCAAACTCTGATCACTCTGCTGAGCAACTCTGATCCTGCTAAGTAGATCCGCCTGATCCACTGCCTCTAAACCCAAAGGCTCCTGCGAAATGGCACACAAACGCAAGGTACTGATCTCGCCAACTAGAGACTCCACATCTCGCTCAACTGCGGAATCATACCTCCGTCTACTCAACGCGTCCGCCACTAGGTTAGCCTTGCCCGGATGGTAGTTAATGCTCACCTGATAGTCCGCCAAGAACTCAACCCAGCGCGTCTGTCTCGCGTTCATCATCGGCTGAGTGAAGATATGCTGCAAACTCTTGTGATCCGTGAAGACCTGTACTGTCTCACCTAGCAAGTAAGACCTCCAAATCTTCAACGCGAAGATCACTGCTCCCAACTCTAAGTCATGTGTAGGACGGTTACGCTCACTGCCCTGCCACTGTCTCGAAGCATATGCTATCACTCTGCCCTCCTGCATCAGCACACAACCAAGACCAATGCCTGAAGCATCTGTATACACCATGTAAGGCTTCCCTGGCTCGGGTAACGCCAACACTGGTGTAGTAGTCAACATCTCCTTGAGCTGACTAAAGCTCTCCTCACACTCAGCTGACCAAACAAAGGGACATCCTTCCCGGTCAACTTCGTCATCGGCTGCGCCATGGTAGCAAACCCCTTGACGAACCTCCTGTAGTATCCTGCCAAACCCAGAAAACTCCTGATCTCGGTGGCACTACTAGGTCTAGGCCAATCTCTGATAGCCTCAATCTTAGCCGGATCCACAGAAACTCCCTCTGCAGAAACAATGTGGCCAAGAAATCCCATCTCTCGCTGCCAGAAACTGCACTTGCTCAACTTAGCAAAAAGCTTCTGCTCCCGAAGCTTCTCCAGAACCAACCTCAAGTGAGTCGCATGCTCCTCCTGACTCCTCGAGTATACCAGAATATCATCAATGAAAATGATGACACACGTCCAAATACTCCCTGAACACGTCGTTCATCAATCTCATGAAGGCTGCCGGCGCGTTAGTCAAACCGAAAGGCATAACCACAAACTCAAAATGCCCATAACGCGTCCTGAAAGCAGTCTTCCTGACATCTGCCTCATCTATCGGGATCTGATGATACCCCGATGCCAAGTCAATCTTGGAGAACCAAGTAGCACCCCTCAACTGATCCAACAACTCATCAATCCTCGGGAGTGGGTACCTGTTCTTCACAGTGACTCGGTTAAGACCTCTGTAATCGATACAAAGTCTGAAACTCCATCCTTCTTCTTCACAAACAACACCGGTGCTCCCCACGGTGAAACACTCGGTCGAATGAACCCCTTAGACAAAAGGTCCTCTATCTGCTTCTTCAGCTCTGCCAACTCAGCTGGCGCCATCCTGTAAGGCGTCTTCGATATCGGTGCTGTCCCCGGCTCTAACTCAATCGTGAAAGGATCAGACCGAGATGGTGGTAATCCCTTCAGTGACTGAAAGACATCCTCAAAATCCTGGACAACCTCAATATCTCCCATAACAACTCCAGCTCCTGACTCAGACATAGAAATCGTCGCCAGATACGCCTCACAGCCCCGCTCTAACAACTGCTCGGCCTGAATAGCAGATATCACAATACTCCCGGAAGTCGGTCTCACTCCCTGATAAACCAACCTCCCTGCATCTCGCTCGAAGACCACTCTACCTCTGTAGCAATCCAGATGAACTCTGTAGTGTGACAACCAGTCCATCCCGAGAATAACGTCATACAGCTCCACCGGACTGATGACTAAGTCTGCTGGCATTGACTGCCCCGCAATCTCGATCTCGACTCCTCTAGCACGGCCCAAAGTAGACAAGAATCCACCTCCCGCCACCTTGACCATGCCCGCGCTCTCGCCCGCGCTACTCCGGATGCCACTCTTCTCGGCACGCTCCGGTGTAATGAAGCAATTCGATGCTCCAGAGTCGAATAAAACGTGGGACTCAAAACCGCCCACTAACAAGGTCATACACACATGCGTTGAGAACCTCACAATTCTATCACAGACAAAAAGAACAACACAACCACCAAAAATGCGCGTCACCACTCAGATAGTGGACTGCCAACTCCAACCTGGTACTAAACCAAATCTGATAGACTGGAAATTCCGCTCCAATCTCTGACGCCACTCATCTGCCGCCTCTGGCTAACTCCGCCCTAAAGTACGGCGTACCAATCCTCTGCATGTGCCCCATCATATCCAAATAGGACGGCACCATCAAACCCACAGCCTGCGGCTGAACAAACCCGCAGCCCTCTGCTGCACCTCTGCCACTGGAGGTACTCCCGGAGCCCCTTGTGGAACCACTGGCGGAAAACGAGCCAATAACTGCGTCAGCAAACCCACCACTAAGTCATCAAGACCCTGAGCCGGAGCACCACCCCAACCCGGAGCAGCCCCCGCTCCCAAACCAACACTCGCATCCACACTGGCCTCACTCGCCACGGATACCGACTGGGTCACCGACGCAGTCGCCACACTCGGCACCACACTCTCTCCCGAATCCGCCGAAGTCCACAATCTCGGCCCCGGCCTCCACGGCCTCTAGCTCTGCCACCACGGCCTCAGCACCGCGCCCTCTCGCGCCACAACCTCTAGCTACTCAGTCCATCTCACTCATGGAACCGAAAAGAGCACACTAGAACACGCAACCAAAACTCAAAACAAACATAAACTCACCGCGGAATCTCTTGTAGCTGAAGGGGATGATACTAAGCCTAGCAATTCTAACAGTCCTAAAACCGTCTAGGCTCTGATACCAAAATGAAACAACCAACATTTTTTTTTTTTTTAATAAATATTAATCAATTCTAGCGAAGGTCTTTAAAATAAATTAAATAAATAAAATATCAATAACAAATAAATCAGCTCAGCGGAAGCAAATAATAATTAAACAAGTCTAGCAAAATAATGCAAAACAATAAAACAGTAAACATCCTATCATCCCCCTCTTCAGCCTTGATTCCGCGATCACACAAATCTTTTACCTGCAACACATTGGAATGGAGTTGCGTAAGTATTTAATAAATACTTAGTGAGGCAATCACTCTGCCTACGAGCCATTTACGCAATTTACTAGATATTTAATAATATTTATAAATTATTTCTTTTCCAATAATATTAAATATTTTTAATTAATTAAAACTCAATATAAATATTAATAATTCCAAAAACAACTAATTTGAATAATATTTATAAATAATAATATAATTATATTTTCCAATTATTAAATAATTATTAAATTAATCTATTTCTCAATTATTAAATAATTCTTATAATTAAATAATAATTCCAATTAAAATAATTAAAATAATTATTTTAAATCAATTAATTAATTAAATTAACCATTAATTAATTAAATCCGAAGGATTTTATACGGGAGGTTACTTGGAGAAATTGGGGAAATACCAATGGGATCTTCAGCTTGTTTTGGGGATATATCTGCGGTTTGAAACGAGATATGGTTGCTTTATTCTGGTGACTGGGTTTTCATTTGGGATTATTGGCGTTTGCTTAGGCAATCATTACTTTTCACAATACTGGAATATTTGTTAAGTAAAACTCTTTCAATCTTGGCATTCTTGAAGGAGGTTCGGCTTCTGTTGATCGGTACTTACGGCACTCTTCATGTGGTAATGAAAGGAGGTTCCTCGAGAGGAATAAAGAAGAGAACAAAAAAATAAATGACTTAGATATGAGAGTTCTTAGTTGGAATTGTCAGGGTTTGGGAAATCAGTTTACTATTAGCTATCTCAGAGAAATTTGAGGAAAGTTTAAACCTGAATTTCTTTTTCTTTCCGAAACAAAACAAGGATTTGATTTTGTGCAACAATTTCAGTTCCATTTTGGCTATGATAGGTTAGTAAACATGGAACCAGTTAACACGAGTGGGGGTTTGGCATTGTTTTATAATAACGATTATGATATCAATATCGAGTTTTCTAATAAAAGGATCATTGATGTTGAGGGTAGATATGAAGGCAAGGTGATTTTCATGTCCTTTGTCTATGGGGACCCAGTGGTTAAGCTGCGTGATCTTGTTTGGGAACGGATTACAAGGATTGGAACAACAAGGACAGACCCATGGTTTTTAATAGGGGACTTCAATGAGATCACAGGAAATCATGAGAAACAAGGTGGACCCCTACGTCAATCATCCACTTTCATTCCTTTTAACTTGATGATAAGCGACTGTGGTTTTGTGAACTTCCCAAGCCGTGGGAATACACTATCATGGAGGGGACGGAGGCGAGGGAAAATAGTGCGGTGCCGGCTGCCGGCTGGACAGAGCGTTAGCTACGGAAGAATGGCACGACCTATTTCCGGTTTCACATATTGAGTATCTCCCAATGATTGGCTCTGACCATAGGCCAATCTTGGCTACTCTGGATTCCAAGATAACCAAGAGGCGAAAACAATATCGGTTTGATAAACGATCGATTGGTCTGGAGGGTTTACTCGAGTCTATTGATCGGGGCTAGAACAACACTCGGGGCGGTGTGGTACCAGGTTTGGTGGACAGAATTTATAATTGCCGACATGAAATATCGGTTTGGAGAAAAAACAATCAACCATATGGAAGGCAAAAAATAGCAGAATTACAGCATGCGCTGGAGGAGATACAAGAGGATGATAATAGTACTCAAGAAGAACTCATCGACATAACCAATAAATTGAAGGAAGCATATAGGGACGAGGAGGAATACTGGAAGCAGTGATGTTGAGTCAGGTTTTACCAAACTCTTAGACCTCTGCAAGTGCACAGATCGCGGAAGTATGGGTATCGAACACAAGGACTGGCTATTGAGTACACTTTGAAACTATGGATTTTGGATCAAGCTAAAACAAAAGTATGATTGAGGTTGTAATGGTGAACAGAACTAGCAAATAAACGAGGTTGTAAATCAATAAGGAAGAAGCGCTAGGTCAACAGGGGCTAATCGCAGAGAAGCAAGCAATGATCAATGAAACAATGATAGATGAATTGATTAGGGATGTTGGGATATTAAGAACCGTCTAGAACACAGATCACGAATATAAAACCATTCCACTTTCGAGGCTCCGGCTCCTTTGTTAATCTACCTAGTCGCTAAACTTTTGGTATGTCCCTAGGTGATTAAATCAAGCTTTAGAATGAATAGGTTCTGATACAGTTCACTAGATTATAGTAGATCAACTTTCGCAGTCTAAGAAACCTAGCTTGTCAAAGAATATGTCCGGCGAATGATACAACACTGTCGAGGCTCAAATCAACCTAAGATCGGATTACTAGATGCGCGGTAAAGCAATCAGCATTAGTTAAGTGCACAAGACGAGACAAAGACTCTATATAATCCCTAGCTAATCATCGAAATCAAAGATCATGCAAGCAACTCATTGATTAGTAACCCTAGCAACCTAACTAGTGGATTACTCAGACATGATCAAAGCAAACACACATAGAGATGAAGAAAACATGATTGCAATAAAACTTAAGTAGGAAATCGTGATACAAGGGCGGCTCTCTTTCTCAAGAGGCTAAAAAGTTATATATATAGTGCTAGGTCTTCAGAGGCGGCTTAGGGTTAAGCCGGGCCTGAAAATACATGAAACGGGCTTCAAAACGGGCTTCGGGTCGACCGCGGCGTTCGGACGGTCGGTCGGGACGATCGGCCGGTATCGGGTCGTGGCCGCTATCGGCAGATCGGAACGGTCGTGGCCGGAGATTCGTGGTCGGCCGCTGGTCGGCGGGTGAAGATTTGGCCGATGTTTCTGGCCGGACGTGGGGCGGCTTTCCTGATCGGATGGCGCATCGGCCGTGGTACGTGAGAGGTTGCGCGGCCGCGAGGCGTTGCTTCCCGGCTCGCGCGGCATGGTCGTGCGCGGCTTCGTGGTTGTGACTTGGCCGACCGCGGGACATTGCTTTCCCGGGTCGATACGTGTACTTGGCCGAGCTTGGACGGACGGTTTAGACTTTGGCCGACGCGGAACATTCGTTCCTCGGCCGGCTGCTCTGCACGGCTTGGCCGCGGTTTCTCGATAGAGCCGTCTGGACCAGTCTTCTCAATGAGGCCATTCCAGTTGCGTTGGAAAGTTAACTCACTCAGAGCACGCAGGGAACTGGTCTTGATGAAATCCATTGAGTAGATCTTTTTCTGGGCCCTCTTAAAGTTGATGCTTGTGCATGGAGCGGCTTGAAGTGCAAATCCTATGGTTTTGCTCCAAAATGCATCATTTCACCTGTTTAGACTCTAGACACTATAAACACAGTAAAACTACCTTTTTAGATAGAAAACCTGCCAAAAACCATTAGAAAACAATACTAAAACAGTATAAAAAGCATGTAAAATAGAGGTATATCAAGCAGAAAAGTAGGAATATGTGGCTAAAAGACGGGGATTTAAATACTAAGTTCTTTCATGCCTCAACGGCGGGCAGTTAACAGGATTGTTGGTCTTCATAATGATGCAAATGTATGGGTCGCTGGAGAAAAAGAGGTGGAAAAGGTAGCAGTCAATTATTTTGACAAACTGTTTACGTCAATTTACCGGTGGACTTTACAGGTGTGCTCGAACATATGTCACACCGGGTTACAGCACAAGAAAATGCAGTTTTGACTCGCTGCGACTGAATCAGAGGTGCGCGAAGCTTTTTTATGATGCACCCAGAGAAAGCACCGGGACCAGATGGCATGACAGCATTATTCTTTCCAACGTTCATGGCATATTATTAAAAATGATATCCTTGAGTTGGTCAATTTTCTCACAGGGTACTTTTGATGAAAGATTGAATATGACTCACATCTGTCTTATTCCAAAGACGGGAAGACCGAGCAGAATGACGGAGTTACGACCAATCAGTCTTTGTAATGTGGGATACAAGATTATTTCTAAAGTTCTTTGTCAGAGGCTTAAAGTACTCTTACCTAGGTTAATCTCGAGACTCAGTCTCTTTTGTACCGGGCAGGCTAATCTCGGACAATATTCTCATAGCTCAGGAGATGTTTCATGGTCTCCGGACAAATAAATCGTGCAAAGGAAAATATATGGCGGTCAAGACGGATATGAGTAAGCCTATGATCGGGTAGAATGGATTTTATAGAGGCTTTAATGAGGAAAATGGGTTTTGCGGAACAGTGGATTTCACATTGGTGATGAATGTATTACATCAGTTAAGTACAAGGTGTTACTTAATGGACAACCTAAAGGAACAATAATCCCCATAGAGGTACGACAAGGGAGACCCGTTATCCCCATATATTTTTATTCTCTGTACGGAGGTTTTGATAGCAAACATCAGAAAGGCGGAGAGTTGAACAGGATCACAGGGCTAAAAGTGGCTAGGGCGAGTCCAGCCGAGTGTCCCATCTTTTTTTGCGGATGATAGTCTTTTTTTCTGCAAAGCAAATGTTGATGAGAGTCGGGTTTTACTTCAAATTCTAAAGGACTATGAAAACACCTCTGGCCAACAAATAAATTTTGAAAATCTTCGGTACAATTTGGACATATACGGTGGAGGTAGGGGTGCGGGCTGAAATACATCAGATCCTGGGAATTACAAACGTAGGGGGGTCGGAAACTATCTAGGGATCCCAGAAAGTATCGGGGGCGCAAAGACAAAGATTTTCAGTTTTTTAATAGATCGACAACAACAACGGATTAACGACTGGAACTCAAAGTGGCTGTCAAAAGGAGGGAAAAGAGGTTCTCATTATGTCAGTGGTCTCGGCGATGCCTACGCATGTCATGTCATGTTTTCGTCTGCCAAAAAGGGTTACAAATAAGCTCTCTAGTGCGGTTTCAAATTTCTGGTGGAGTAATAATGGGCAAACTCGGGGAATGCATTGGCTGGCGTGGAAAAAACTATCCCGGCACAAAAATGATGGGGGCTTGGGATTCCGTGTTATTGAGGATTTTAACACGGCTTTACTTGCAAAACAACTCTGGCGACTAATTGACTACCAGACTCGCTGTTTGCAAGAGTGTTCAAAGGAAGGTATTACCGGAATTCTATGCCTTTGGACCCTATTAGATCTTACTCGGCCTCTTACGGATGGCAAAGTATAGTCTCGGCTCGACCTCTGGTACAAAAAGGGCTTATTAAAAGAGTTGGTTCAGGAACATCTGTGTTAGTTTGGGATGATCCATGGATTCCAGCTTCTCGCCCGAGGCCAGCCAACGGATCTGGGATTAATTTTACCCTCATCTCGGGTGAGTGAATTGATAAATTCCAGCACAGCAACGTGGAACCTTCCACTATTAAACCAGTTATTTGACAGCACGGATGTCACGCTGATTATGGGGATCCCACTTCACATGCCGCCCGACCAGACTCTCTGGGATGGTTTTTCACGAAGTCGGGTCGATATACGGTTAAATCGGGATACACAGTCGCATAACAAGCTTTAGAGGATGCTATTCCCATTTTTTTTGGACCTGATACACGGCAACTTCAGACACAGGTGTGGAAAACACAATGTACTCAAAAATTGCAACATTTTCTTTGGCAAGCTCTGACGAGATGTATAGGAGTCGGTGAAAGATTACGAAGTCGGGGTATGCAAATAGATCCACGGTGTATGCGGTGTGGGATGGCACCAGAAACTGTAAATCACACTTTATTTGAGTGTCCGCCGGCACTACAAGTTTGGGCATTATCTCCGATTCCAACGCACCAGCCCATTTTCCCAACTGGAGGCCTGTTTACAAACATGACACAATTGTTTTGGCACTTGCCAAATGATGATAGGATGAGGATGTTCCCTTGGTTGATTTGGTATATTTGGAAAGCCCGTAATGACAAGGTTATGTCTAATGTGGATTGGGACCCCAATGAGATAATCGTTAAAGCAGAAGCGGAGTCTATAGCATGGACAAAGGCCCAGGAACGGCTGGAGATGGCATATCCCCACACAGAAACCCACGTGGAAATATCTGCGTTAGGCGACATATGTCAGGTGGACGGGGCCTGGAAGGAATCAGAGTGTAGAGCTGGTCTAGGATGGTATTATTTTAACACGAATACTCTTGAAAATTTTATGGGAGGGTGTAATCTGAGGCGGGGGATATCACCTCTTCAGGCAGAGCTGGAAGCTCTCATTTGGGCTATGCAATGTATGCTAAGGATTAGAAAATTAACAACGGTGTTTCAGACGGACTGTTCCGATGTGGTGAAGATGGTGTCTAGACCAGAGGAGTGGCCGGCTTTCTCATTACTACTTGAAGAGGTTGACAGATGTAAGAGGAGATTCAATTCTTTCTCCATCATGCAGATACCAAGGACGAAAAACACGCAGGCAGACAAGCTAGCACGGAGTGCTCGAGCTCTACTTACTGATGTGTACTATGTAAACTCTGTTTCACCAGTTTGGATTTCCGAGCTGTTTTAGAGATAGAGGCTATTGACAAAAAAAAATAATAATAATAAAAAATAATAATAAATAAATAAATAAATAAATTAAATCCGAAAATAAATCAAACAAATTGAATTAAAACATTTTAATTCAATTACACCAATTAACCAGAATCAAATCAATTTAAACCAAGATAGACCAATTAAATCAATTAATTCAATTAAACCAGATTAATAAATTTGAATAAATCAGCGATAGCTTTTGGAAGTAAAGTCCAACCAAATGTGAAGACTCAAATGAGAAGGATACTGGAAATCCATAATGAAGGGGGAGGAGGCAAATACTTAGGTGTCCCGGAGCAATTTGGGAGAAAAAAAACAGAGATGTTTCAGTATATTGTCGACAAAGTTAAAGAGCGAACTCAGGGTTGGCACAAAAGCTTTTTGTCTACTGGGGGTAAAGAGGTTCTACTTAAGTCGGTCGCCATTGCATTACCGGTGTATTCGATGAATGTTTTCAAGTTACCAACAGGAATGTGTGAAGAAATAAATAGTGTGTTGGCTAAGTTCTGGTGGAATACGAATGAAGAGAGAAAAGGAATGCATTGGTTTAAGTGGAAGCCGCTATGCTTCCCGAAAAAAGAAGGTGGAATTGGCTTTAGAGATATTGAAAGCTTTAACTTGGCACTCTTGGGGAAAACAAGCATGGAGATTGTTGCAGAATTCAGAATGTCTTATGGCTCGTGTGATGAGAGGTAGATACTATAATGACGGAAATATTCTGACGGCAAAGGTCAAGAGGAAAAGTTCATTTGCATGGAAGTCAATTCTTCAAGGAAGGGACTTACTGCGAAAGGGATTGAGATTCGTGATTGGAGATGGGAAAGCAATTAGTGCCTGGGAAGATCCTTGGCTACCAACACATCCACCAAGAGCTCCGAAGCCAAAAAATCCAGAGGTACAAAACTGCTTACTTGAGAATTGGTTGAATAATTCTGGAAATGGCTGGAATGAAGATATAGTGAGAGAGTTGGTCTCAGATGAGGATATACCATTGGTATTTGATATACCTCTAATTTACCCACTTTTTATACTGTTTTAGCATTGTTTTCTAATGGTTTTTGGCAGGTTTTCTATCTAAAAAGGTAGTTTTACTGTGTTTATAGTGTCTAGAGTCTAAACAGGTGAAATGATGCATTTTGGAGCAAAACCATAGGATTTGCACTTCAAGCATCTCCATGCACAAGCACCAACTTTAAGAGGGCCCAGAAAAAGATCTACTCAATGGATTTCATCAAGAGCAGTTCCTTGCGTGCCCTGATTGAGTTAACTTTCCAACGCAACTGGAATGGCTTCATTTGGATGAGTAGAAAAGGAGTTATAGCCAAAAGAGTGGAGACTGTCCAGACGGCTCTATCGAGAAAACAGCGCCCAAACCGCGCAGTCCGGCTGGCCGAGAAACTATTGTTTCGCGCTCGGCCAAAGTCACATCCGTCCGACTGAAGTCTCGACTGAAGAGGTAGAAGGAATATTGTTTGCTTGTCATAGTTCTAGCTATGCAGGCACTTTGCCACTTACAAGACAGTATCCAAGGTCCTACAAGCTGGATTTTGGTGGCCAACTATGTTTAAGGATGCTCATGCATTCATATCAAGATGTGATGCTTGCCAAAGAATGGGAAATATAAGCAAGAGGAATGAGATGCCACAGAACTTTATACTAGAAGTTGAAGTTTTTGATGTTTGGGGCATTGACTTTATGGGACCCTTCCCAACCTCTTTTGGTGACCAATACATTCTAGTGGCAGTTGATTATGTCTCCAAATGGGTGGAAGCCATTGCCAGCCCTACTAATGACGCACAAGTGGTCATCAAGATGTTTAAATCCATCATTTTTCCAAGGTTTGGAGTGCCTAGGATAGTCATAAGTGATGGAGGTTCACATTTCATCAACAGAATCTTTGCCAACCTTTTGAAGAAGCATGGAGTCACTCACAAAGTTGCCTCTCCTTACCACCCTCAAACTAGTGGACAAGTTGAGATCTCAAACAGAGAACTCAAGAGCATACTTCAGAAGACAACAGGCAAGACAAGAAAGGATTGGAGTGCCAAACTAGATGATGCTCTATGGGCATACCGCACTGCCTTCAAAACACCACTTGGTACCACCCCCTTTCATCTTGTTTATGGTAAAGCATGTCATTTACCTGTGGAGCTTGAGTACAAAGCAGCTTGGGCTATTAAGGAGTTGAACTTCAACCTAAAGACAGCAGGAGAAAGAAGATTGATTCAGCTAAATGAGCTTGATGAGATTAGGCATCTAGCTTATGAGAATTCAAAGATCTATAAGGAGAGAACCAAAGCTTTCCATGACCGCAAGATCATCCCAAAGAACTTCGCGCCAAACGACCAAGTTCTACTATTCAACTCAAGGTTGAAACTCTTTCCAGGAAAGCTTCGCTCAAGATGGTCAGGACCATTCAGGATTAAAGAAGTTCGCCCCTATGGAGCAGTGGTACTATGGGACCCAATGGGAGGAGACTTTACAGTCAATGGACAAAGGTTAAAACCTTACCTAGCCTCCACCACCATACCACAGGAGACCACACTAGCTCTTGGCGATCCACCAGATCCTTAAGGAAGTGCCATACAGTCAAGCTAATGACTTTAAACAAAGCGCTGAATGGGAGGCAACCCATTGAAGGTCATTTCTTTTCATTTTCTTTCTTTAATTTTCTTTTTTTTGAATATTACCTCTCACCTTAATGTGATTTGCTTTCACCGGGACGGTGCAAGTTAAGTCTGGGGGGAGTTTTATTGTGTTACTAATGCATTTTTCTTTCTTTTCTTATGTTTTATTCACTTTGTTTCATGTTTTTCAAAAAGTTTTATTGAGTCAAAAACCAGTCCGGAAGTTATGAACTTGCTTTGAGAATTGAGAGTGTTATGCTAACAATCCATGACCCTAGAGCAGAAACCAGCTAAAGGCACAAGCCTAACAGAAGCTCTTACAGTGGATCGACATGCTAGCTCAGCAAAATTTCTAAGGTAACCAAGCAATCTAGAGTTAACCTCACCCTTAATCAATCTTAATTACTCTTGTCAAGGGGGTTGGCATACATGTCGACAGTTCCTTGCTTGATTTTCAATGAGATTTGTCTAATCTTTAAAGAGTTCTCCTCTCTCTCCCATCCCAAATGGTAAGTAATGTTTATGAGAAAAAGCTCAAAGAGCACAAGGAAAACAAGTAAGCATGAGGAATGCATATGTCTGTACCTTCATGTCTTATGGAATACCTTAGTCAAACAAGGAACAAGCTAAAGACTTATCCTGTGGTTGAAAGAAGGGTCAATAGAAAAAATAAAATGATACCCTAGAAAAGTAGGGAGAAATTGACCTTTCAAAGTTCTGATGTGAGAAAGAGAGAGGAAAAGAACTCATTGCACTTAAAGAGGCAATCTTGGAGAGATCAAGTGGGTAAGAACAAGTTCAATTGATCGATGTCCCCTTGATAAAGAATTCACGCTTTAAATTTATGCAAGAGGTTAGCAATAGAGAGTTTGGATTGCTGGATGAGACTAGTTGGGTTGGTATTGTTCGCTAAACTTGCAGGGTGTATGTGAAGCTAACCTTATGTTGTCTATGTTCATAGTGGAATACAGGAAAGGAACCTTTCACAGGATATTCAAAAGAGCAAGGGAGTTCCACGTTTTCAAACCTCTTTCACGGATTTAGATTCTTTTTGCTTGGGGACAAGCAAAGATCTAAGTCTGGGGGAGTTGATATACCTCTATTTTACCCACTTTTTATACTGTTTTAGCATTGTTTTCTAATGGTTTTTGGCAGGTTTTCTATCTAAAAAGGTAGTTTTACTATGTTTATAGTGTCTAGAGTCTAAACAGGTGAAATGATGCATTTTGGAGCAAAACCATAGGATTTGCACTTCAAGCAGCTCCATGCACAAGCACCAACTTTAAGAGGGCCCAGAAAAAGATCTACTCAATGGATTTCATCAAGACCAGTTCCCTGCGTGCTCTGATTGAGTTAACTTTCCAACGCAACTGGAATGGCCTATTTGGATGAGTAGAAAAGGAGTTAAACCAAAAGAGTGAAGACTGCTCTATCGAGAATCAGCGCCCAACCGCGCAGTCCGGCTGGCCGAGAAACGTTTCGCTCGGCCAAATCATCCGTCCGAAGTCTCGGCCAAAGTCAAACCGACCGGCCGATCACGCAACACGACCCGGGAAACATTGTCCCGCGGTCGGCCAAGCCAACGCTCACGCCACCCGCGCACGACCATGCGCGCGAGCCGGGAAACAAGCCTCGCGGCCGCGCAACCCGTTCCGCACGATGCATCCGTCCGAGCCGGGAAAGAACGTCCCACGTCCGGCCGAGAAACCATCGGCCAAATCTCATCCGTCCGACCACGCCGGCCGACCGCGAATCCGTCCGGCCCCGACCGTTCCGACTCGGCCACGACCCGATGTCCGGCCGATCGTCCCGACCGACCGTCCCAACGCCGCGGTCGACCCGAAGCCCTTTTTGAAGCCCAAACTTTCATATTTTCAAGCCCGGCTTAACCCTAAGCCGCCTCTAGAAAGACCTAGCACTATATATATGCTTTTTAGCCTCTTGTGAAAGAGAGCCGCCTTGTATTTCGATTTCCTACTCTAAGTTTTATTGCAATCATGTTTTCTTCATCCAAAACTACCTGAGCAGCCAACAAAACTAAATAACAAGAGAGGGAAAAGAGAGAGATAAAACAAGAGATAAAAAAACATGATTCGCAATAAAAATCAAAAAGAAAATAAAAAAACAAACTAAAATATCCATATAACGTGTAGGTAAAAAATCTAAATAACCGAAAAGAAGATATGAATTAAAAAGTCACACTCCAAAAGGCTCCGACCCGACCACGCGAGTACAACGGTCGTAAGCGGTGACGATCGGCGCGGTAGTTCGTCGTGGCGAGTCGAAACGGACGATGAAAAGTAACGCGTGTCGGCGGATAAAAAAGAAAAATCGCTGGACGTGGGACTAAAAAAAAAAATCCCGGCTTCGGACGACAAAGACTCTAATATAATCCCTAGCTAATCATCAAAATCAAAGATCATGCAAGCAACTCATTGAATAGTAACCCGGGTCGTGATGCGTGATCGGCCGGTCGGTTTCGAACTTTGGCCGAGACTTCAGACGGACGGATGTGATTTGGCCGAGCGCGGAACATTCGTTCCTCGGCCAGCCGGACTGCGCGGTTGGGCGCTGATTCTCGATAGAGCCGTCTGGACAGTCTTCACTCTTTTGGTTGTAACTCCTTTTCTACTCATCCAAATTAGGCCATTCCAGTTGCGTTGGAAAGTTAACTCAATCAGAGCACGCAGGGAACTGGTCTTGATGAAATCCATTGAGTAGATCTTTTTCTGGGCCCTCTTAAAGTTGGTGCTTGTGCATGGAGCTGGCTTGAAGTGCAAATCCTATGGTTTTGCTCCAAAATGCATCATTTCACCTGTTTAGACTCTAGACACTATAAACACAGTAAAACTACCTTTTTAGATAGAAAACCTGCCAAAAACCATTAGAAAACAATGCTAAAACAGTATAAAAAGTGGGTAAATTAGAGGTATATCAACTCCCCCAGACTTAGATCTTTGCTTGTCCTCAAGCAAAAAGAATCTAAATCCGTGAAAGAGGTTTGAAAACGTGGAAGCTCCCTTGCTCTTTTGAATATCCTGTGAAAGGTTCCTTTCCTGTATTCCACTATGAACATAGACAACATAAGGTTAGCTTCACATACACCCTGCAAGTTTAGCGAACAATACCAACCCAACTAGTCTCATCCAGCAATCCAAACTCTCTATTGCTAACCTCTTGCATAAATTTAAAGCGTGAATTCTTTATCAAGGGGACATCGATCAATTGAACTTGTTCTTACCCACTTGATCCTCTCCAAGATTGCCTCTTTAAGTGCAATGAGTTCTTTTCCTCTCTCTTTCTCACATCAGAACTTTGAAAGGTCAATTTCTCCCTACTTTTCTAGGGTATCATTTTATTTTTTCTATTGACCCTTCTTTCAACCACAGGATAAGTCTTTAGCTTGTTCCTTGTTTGACTAAGGTATTCCATAAGACATGAAGGTACAGACATATGCATTCCTCATGCTTACTTGTTTTCCTTGTGCTCTTTGAGCTTTTTCTCATAAATTACTTACCATTTGGGATGGGAGAGAGAGGAGAACTCTTTAAAGATTAGACAAATCTTATTGAAAATCAAGCAAGGAACTGTCGACATGTATGCCAACCCCCTTGACAAGAGTAATTAAGATTGATTAAGGGTGAGGTTAACTCTAGATTGCTTGGTTACCTTAGAAATTTTGCTGAGCTAGCATGTCGATCCACTGTAAGAGCTTCTGTTAGGCTTGTGCCTTTAGCTGGTTTCTGCTCTAGGGTCATGGATTGTTAGCATAACACTCTCAATTCTCAAAGCAAGTTCATAACTTCCGGACTGGTTTTTGACTCAATAAAACTTTTTGAAAAACATGAAACAAAGTGAATAAAACATAAGAAAAGAAAGAAAAATGCATTAGTAACACAATAAAACTCCCCCCAGACTTAACTTGCACCGTCCCGGTGAAAGCAAATCACATTAAGGTGAGAGGTAATATTCAAAAAAAAGAAAATTAAAGAAAGAAAATGAAAAGAAATGACCTTCAATGGGTTGCCTCCCATTCAGCGCTTTGTTTAAAGTCATTAGCTTGACTGTATGGCACTTCCTTAAGGATCTGGTGGATCGCCAAGAGCCAGTGTGGTCTCCTGTGGTATGGTGGTGGAGGCTAGGTAGGGTTTTAACCTTTGTCCATTGACTGTAAAGTCTCCTCCCATTGGGTCCCATAGTACCACTGCTCCATAGGGGCGAACTTCTTTAATCCTGAATGGTCCTGACCATCTTGAGCGAAGCTTTCCTGGAAAGAGTTTCAACCTTGAGTTGAATAGTAGAACTTGGTCGTTTGGCGCAAAGTTCTTTGGGATGATCTTGCGGTCATGGAAAGCTTTGGTTCTCTCCTTATAGATCTTTGAATTCTCATAAGCCAGATGCCTAATCTCATCAAGCTCATTCAGCTGAATCAATCTTCTTTCTCCTGCTGTCTTTAGGTTGAAGTTCAACTCCTTAATAGCCCAAGCTGCTTTGTACTCCAAGCTCCACAGGTAAATGACATGCTTTACCATAAACAAGATGAAAGGGGGTGGTACCAAGTGGTGTTTTGAAGGCAGTGCGGTATGCCCATAGAGCATCATCTAGTTTGGCACTCCAATCCTTTCTTGTCTTGCCTGTTGTCTTCTGAAGTATGCTCTTGAGTTCTCTGTTTGAGATCTCAACTTGTCCACTAGTTTGAGGGTGGTAAGGAGAGGCAACTTTATGAGTGACTCCATGCTTCTTCAAAAGGTTGGCAAAGATTCTGTTGATGAAATGTGAACCTCCATCACTTATGACTATCCTAGGCACTCCAAACCTTGGAAAAATGATGGATTTAAACATCTTGATGACCACTTGTGCGTCATTAGTAGGGCTGGCAATGGCTTCCACCCATTTGGAGACATAATCAACTGCCACTAGAATGTATTGGTCACCAAAAGAGGTTGGGAAGGTCCCATAAAGTCAATGCCCCAAACATCAAAAACTTCAACTTCTAGTATAAAGTTCTGCGGCATCTCATTCCTCTTGCTTATATTTCCCATTCTTTGGCAAGCATCACATCTTGATATGAATGCATGAGCATCCTTAAACATTGTTGGCCACCAAAATCCAGCTTGTAGGACCTTGGATACTGTCTTGTAAGTGGCAAAGTGCCCTGCATAACTAGAACTATGACAAGCAAACAATATTCCTTCTACCTCTTCAGTCGAGACTTCAGTCGGACGGATGTGACTTTGGCCGAGCGCGGAACGTGCGTTCCTCGGCCAGCCGGACTGCGCGGTTGGGCGCTGTTTCTCGATAGAGCCGTCTGGACAGTCTTTACTCTTTTGTCTATAACTCCTTTTCTACTCATCCAAATTAGGCCTTTCCAGTTGCGTTGGAAAGTTAACTCAATCAGAGCACGCAGGGAACTGGTTTTGATGAAATCCATTGAGTAGATCTTTTTTCTGGGCCCTCTTAAAGTTGGTGCTTGTGCATGGAGATGCTTGAAGTGCAAATCCTATGGTTTTGCTCCAAAATGCATCATTTCACCTGTTTAGACTCTAGACACTATAAACACAGTAAAACTACCTTTTTAGATAGAAAACCTGCCAAAAACCATTAGAAAACAATGCTAAAACAGTATAAAAAGTGGGTAAATTAGAGGTATATCAAATACCAATGGTATATCCTCATCTGAGACCAACTCTCTCACTATATCTTCATTCCAGCCATTTCCAGAATTATTCAACCAATTCTCAAGTAAGCAGTTTTGTACCTCTGGATTTTTTGGCTTCGGAGCTCTTGGTGGATGTGTTGGTAGCCAAGGATCTTCCCAGGCACTAATTGCTTTCCCATCTCCAATCACGAATCTCAATCCCTTTCGCAGTAAGTCCCTTCCTTGAAGAATTGACTTCCATGCAAATGAACTTTTCCTCTTGACCTTTGCCGTCAGAATATTTCCGTCATTATAGTATCTACCTCTCATCACACGAGCCATAAGACATTCTGAATTCTGCAACAATCTCCATGCTTGTTTTCCCCAAGAGTGCCAAGTTAAAGCTTTCAATATCTCTAAAGCCAATTCCACCTTCTTTTTTCGGGAAGCATAGCGGCTTCCACTTAAACCAATGCATTCCTTTTCTCTCTTCATTCGTATTCCACCAGAACTTAGCCAACACACTATTTATTTCTTCACACATTCCTGTTGGTAACTTGAAAACATTCATCGAATACACCGGTAATGCAATGGCGACCGACTTAAGTAGAACCTCTTTACCCCCAGTAGACAAAAAGCTTTTGTGCCAACCCTGAGTTCGCTCTTTAACTTTGTCGACAATATACTGAAACATCTCTGTTTTTTTTCTCCCAAATTGCTCCGGGACACCTAAGTATTTGCCTCCTCCCCCTTCATTATGGATTTCCAGTATCCTTCTCATTTGAGTCTTCACATTTGGTTGGACTTTACTTCCAAAAGCTATCGCTGATTTATTCAAATTTATTAATCTGGTTTAATTGAATTAATTGATTTAATTGGTCTATCTTGGTTTAAATTGATTTGATTCTGGTTAATTGGTGTAATTGAATTAAAATGTTTTAATTCAATTTGTTTGATTTATTTTCGGATTTAATTTATTTATTATTATTTTTTATTATTATTATTTTTTTTTGTCAATAGCCTCTATCTCTAAAACAGCTCGGAAATCCAAACTGGTGAAACAGAGTTTACATAGTACACATCAGTAAGTAGAGCTCGAGCACTCCGTGCTAGCTTGTCTGCCTGCGTGTTTTTCGTCCTTGGTATCTGCATGATGGAGAAAGAATTGAATCTCCTCTTACATCTGTCAACCTCTTCAAGTAGTAATGAGAAAGCCGGCCACTCCTCTGGTCTAGACACCATCTTCACCACATCGGAACAGTCCGTCTGAAACACCGTTGTTAATTTTCTAATCCTTAGCATACATTGCATAGCCCAAATGAGAGCTTCCAGCTCTGCCTGAAAAGGTGATATCCCCCGCCTCATATTACACCCTCCCATAAGTTTTTCAAGAGTATTCGTGTTAAAATAATACCATCCTAGACCAGCTCTACACTCTGATTCCTTCCAGGCCCCGTCCACCTGACATATGTCGCCTAACGCAGATATTTCCACGTGGGTTTCTGTGTGGGGATATGCCATCTCCAGCCGTTCCTGGGCCTTTGTCCATGCTATAGACTCCGCTTCTGCTTTAACGATTATCTCATTGGGGTCCCAATCCACATTAGACATAACCTTGTCATTACGGGCTTTCCAAATATACCAAATCAACCAAGGGAACATCCTCATCCTATCATCATTTGGCAAGTGCCAAAACAATTGCGTCATGTTTGTAAACAGGCCTCCAGTGGGAAAATGGGCTGGTGCTGTTGGAATCGGAGATAATGCCCAAACTTGTAGTGCCGGCGGACACTCAAATAAAGTGTGATTTACAGTTTCTGGTGCCATCCCACACCGCATACACCGTGGATCTATTTGCATACCCCGACTTCGTAATCTTTCACCGACTCCTATACATCTCGTCAGAGCTTGCCAAAGAAAATGTTGCAATTTTTGAGTACATTGTGTTTTCCACACCTGTGTCTGAAGTTGCCGTGTATCAGGTCCAAAAAAAATGGGAATAGCATCCTCTAAAGCTTGTTATGCGACTGTGTATCCCGATTTAACCGTATATCGACCCGACTTCGTGAAAAACCATCCCAGAGAGTCTGGTCGGGCGGCATGTGAAGATGGGATCCCCATAATCAGCGTGACATCCGTACTGTCAAATAACTG